TCCCGCGCCATTGGCGCGCTGACCCGCTTACTAATGATTGGATGTGACGGACGACACACTCAGCACACATCACACCCAACCCTCGCTGACCCCAAACGACCCGTTGCTAGGCGACAAAACGGCCGTCATTGCTGCTGTGACCCAGTTCCTCTATGTTTATTGCCAGGAACAGTCTTTTGTGCAATATGTTGGAGGAAGATGAACTAGTGTGAATGACAGCCGAGCGGAAAGCATATTAGGTAGGTATAAATGATGACATTACCGAAAATGTCCTAATTTAGATGTATTAAGGCGTCATTCGAGCATGCGTACTTACTTCATGCAGAGCAAAAAAAATGTACCAATTATAGCCATATCATCAGTAAATAGTGATATACATAATTGATGAAATAATGTCCTACAACGATGATAGTTTGTGAAATTCCTTGTAATAGGTTTAACATCACAGCGCCAGATTGTATTACCTACTTTGATCACTAATAAAGTGGCTGTACAATACAACTCTCCCAGCTATCCCCAAAAGTTGGAAACTTCATCATTGCATTGGCAGTTATTATAGTCTTCTTTGGTCATCTATTGCGTACTGTCATGTAAGTGCATTGATTTGAGTGTTTTTGAAAGTTTAAAACGCCATTGTTGCATCAGTACTTTAAGTTATTATAGTCTTCTTTGGTCCTCCATTACGTAGTGACATGTAAGTGCATTGATTTGAGTCTTTTTGAAAGTTTAAAACGCCATTATTGCATCAGTACTTTAAGTTATTATAGTATTCTTTGGTCCTCCATTACGTGCTGACATGTAAGTGCATTGTTTGAGTGTTATTGACGATCGCCATACACTCCGTTTCATTTGGAGACGCCAATGCAAATCTCCTGTGTTTCTTCCGCTTCAACACAGTGACGTAAATCGATGAATCATTCAGAAATCTGACGCAAATGTACAGATAAAGATATCCAGAGTATTACGTCGTGTCTGATAACAGTCTGTATTGAAAAAAGATACGGAAAATATTATTATAATCATTTACAATGAAATTCCATAATCAAATAAAAGACTATGCTGAAGACGCAATTTCAACTGCACCGTATCCTTACAGATGAACGTAACATGTAATTATACATGTATATGAAACGGCTTGTGTAATGGTAATGTAAGACAGATGGAAAATACACGGGTGAGAATCTGACAATAGCGGCAGATATATCAGTATCCGGGGTTTGACAAGACAAACAATCGCAGACAGATACGCTGATGATACAGTTATTGGCAGACATGCAAATATATGCACGGTGCGCTCTTGCGACAACTCATGTACCTGACGTATTAGTGGCTTTGCGGATTTAACAGTTACGCTACTTATATAACCCGCTTACAGAATTCATCTCTTTTACAAAAATGGTGACAATGATGTATTGATGCATTTAAGGTCTCAACATACTTTGGTGTAATGAGCACATATTTTAGCTACGCACGAGTTTCTACCTATCACTGACCTACTGTGGCGAGTAATTTTACGGTAATGCAAAAAGTATCATTCATACGTCGATGAAAGTTAGACATCCAGGTAATGAGATTTACAAAGAAATAGTTACTCAAGCAAATGGGTAGATTTTAAAAGCTGTCAGACGTTTCAAGTAGCATCCACTACTTTTAGTCAGTAAACGAAAAGTAGTGTGGATGCTACTTGACACATAAAAGTTTTCAAAATCTATCCAAATGCTTAAATAACTTAATTTCCTTGAGTATGGTTTATATATCTCAATGCATTACCATATATTCCCTACAATAGCCAATAAAAATTATAAAAACATCTTGGCATGTTTATCTTTCTGATATAGAATTCCAAACTTGATCACGTATGAATATTGAAACTAACATTAATTCAATACCAATGAGCCAATGAGCCAACCGTACCAACATTCGTCAAATATGATATTCATAATAACTCTGTATTATGATATCAAACCATTTGCGGAGGCCATATTTTTAGACACCTGTGTCTTCATTAGCATAAAGAATCTATACAGCTCTGTTATGCTCTACGCGTTGCAAAATGTATGATTGTGTGTTATATATATCCGGCTTGTGGCGTTCAGCCAACACCAAACTTGGAGTTAAACCATAGGTATTGATTTCTGCCGGTCCCTCGCTGCTTTATTTACAGTGTCTTAAGAAGCAATTTATTTGCTTGATGTGTCTGGAGCTAAAGTCTGACTGGTCTTAAAATTTCTGTTTGCGAAAACGCTGCCATTGACCTAGGCAACATACATTAACGGTGATCTTGATACAAATGTATTCAGTTATTGCTTGCTTAGAATATTAGTATTTAACACGTTTAATTAATTCTACCATGTAGATTTAGATTGCTCTGTGTACGGAGTTACTGTTTTGGGTGTGTTGGTTGATTGACAGCTCGTGGGTGGGCTGAATTTCCTAACCACAGACCACAAAAGGTCAGACACAGGAAATTAGGTCCCAGACAGCAGGAAGCTGGCTTGTGGTCGATTGGCCGGGTGCCAGTGGATAAACAGACGAATTCACAATAATGAATAAAACAGGGCACAAATAACGTCGTTAACATATGCCCAAAACAAAACGAACTACAGGTCCTATTTCAGTCCATTTTCTAAAGCCTATGCAGTGGTAAGTAGCCTTTTTTCGTAGAAAGTTTGTTCCACAATTTACGTAGTTAATACTGTATGACAGAAATGGACGGTCCCTGTACGTGCTTGATTTCTGAGTGGTATCCAGAGGACAGACTGTGCGGCTGAGAAACGAGATGAGCTGGGAGGGTAAGTGGCACTCGGCTCACTTCTGCGTGCAGACATCACTTCCCAAACCGCCAACACTACGTGACAGCGGCACGGGAAAATCGACCAAACTGCCGGGACTTAATCTCATTTAGCTCACCTCTGTTCCCACAAAGTCTTTCCCACTGTGCAACGACAAACCTTGTAACGGTTATCCAATAGAGCACTGTCAGGTAAAATCAAATTCACGCTAGTTGTCATTGAAAAAAATTAAAATTCTAATATACAGCTGTTAATTGTTTCTAATGGTATTGTGTATCTAGTCACAAATCTTTCATCTAATAGAGCACTGTCAGGCAAGATGAAATCCATGATTTATAATTGAAAAAATCTGAAGTAAGACAGTGAATTGTCTCTAATAGTGTTGTTTATTTAGTAACAGATCCCGCAACGGTTATCTAGTAGATCATTGTCAGTATGAAATTCACAGTAGCATTTTCATGAAAAAAAATAAAATGAAATAAAATCAGTAATTTTTTCTAATAGTATCGTGTTCTTAGTAAAAAAATCTTGTAACGGTATTCCAATATAGCACTGTCTAGCAATATCAAATATACGTTATTTATCATTGAAGAAAAAAAAATAAAACCAGTGTTTCCAAAAGTATTATTCATTCAGTCACTTTGATAACGTACATGAAAGATAGAAATACAACATCAATGAGGATATATACTTTTATACCATTACTCGATGCGGAGAATTTCTTATTCCAAAATTTGTTATTCCAAATGTAACCTTATAGTGCCACTTGCCGCATGGTTAAACGCTGCACTTAAATCTAACGTCCCGGCGGAAACTCAGACTTATTATTCAGGTTTGTCTGGCAATTGCCGCCATTTTGTCGGAGTGACCCCCATCTGTCGCTCCCATCTCTCAAACAATCCGTGTTTTATAACGCTTAAGTAATTAAAGAAAGACAATAAACGTCTCGACGTTAATGAAGCAATTAATCACCATGCGCCTGATGTCTTTTCTAACATGTTTACAGTAATGTTAGAATACAATATTCAAAATTGTCAAACTGAAAGAAAAAGTATGACAGAAGGTATGTTGTAGTAAAGTCAAAGCTAACGGTACAGCATGACTCAGAGAGCGAGAGTCTTTGTTTACTGATTCAATTATAACACGTAGACAAATGGCGGAGTGACTATTATAATAGATTTGCATTGTTTGCCAACGGCATCCTTGAAACGGTATCCGTTTTGATCGCAGAAAAGCCGCTAAAGTTTAAATGGGCCCATAGAAATCATTCCGAGCTCACGAGATCCGCTGGGCGGTGGGAGTCACGGGAGCTTCCGGTGGAGAGGATGGCATTTCACCGGACTACGCCGTAAGAATGAACAAACCGCGCGCGAGCCGGCTAGCCCGCCCGCCGATCAATAACAGGTCCTTTCCGAATCGGGCAGCGTGCACGGCACAGGGCAGGGAGCCAATGCCGACAAAAAAGGGGGCATTTCAACACACCACGGCTACTGGTATCAGGGCATGCTAGTAGACAAGATACAAATCCTCTTACTCCTTAGGTGTTCTTTCAGTTAGGCTATATTGTTCATAAAACACGGGAGAACTACAACTAAGATTACCTACGAACAAGGTATGAAATATTAAATGTGAATATATCATGTGTGCAGTTACTACTCATCATGTAGACTTTGTTTCGTCGGAAGAAACTTGGCCTTGGATGAAGCATGTAAAATGTGATCTTCAGAGACATCTGTTTCCTCGGGGATGCTTTTATGATTTTAATTATTTTGCAAGCTATAAATCTTATCGCAAGGCAAGAATGTTTATAAGGCAAGAGCCTGAAAAAATACGGCAGAATGGAGTACGTACTAATGTACGGAATAACAAGTATACCTAGAAGTCTTCGAAAGGTATGGACTAGGAAAGCGTAAAATTATTTGATGAACCAAATTTGCTCCGCCCACCTCCAAACGTGTAAAAACTTGCGATGCTCACGAAAAGACATGCGCTATTTTTTTTTCTTTCAATTCAAGACGTTCCGCTAAGTTCGCCACTCGTGCGTAACGCGTGGAAAATTTTCTAAGGAAATGATGCATAAGACTATGCAAAAACGCAGGCATGCGAGGTGGAATTTTACGCCAGTTTGCGCGCACCGGTCCTGTAGTTACGGCTACGTACTCGGCTATGGGATGCCGGCTACACCTACACACCCACACACCTACCTACCTTGCAAGCCGCACCAGCACACCAAGACGCAAACTACGCCCGACGTCGCCATATTGCTCCTTCACTCCGTCTTGGCCTTTTCCCTTCTGGCTGGAATGTTCTCTCACGCTGGGATGATGGAATCTGCGGAGGAATGGGAGAGCTGGAATTAGACGGAGGAGCCGGGATGTGGGGCGCGGGAGGTTCGCGTTGTCACCGTGAGGCCGGAAAGATTACGAGCCCGAGCCGGGGACAAACCACTGAGTGAGCGGGGGAGGGGTGCTGACAGCACGGCGGACTAGGAGATACATTCATCATCCGGACTATCAACCTCGTTGTTATTAGGCACAGCTTCTATGGTTATCTTTCGAACACACAGAATTCAGGAGACAACTGACCACATATCATATCCGCTGATTACCATATCAGCGGATATGATATGTGGTATATAAGCCGATATAATCGTCATTGTACAAGACACTTTAGCAATGGGTTTTTTTATTTGTTGTTTCACATACGTAAATATTCACGGAATTGCCACATAAATTTTGTGACTTCCTCTAGTACCTTATCTTTTAATTTACTCATGTATAAAAATTCCCAGTATCATTCAATCGCTCAGCACCTCAACGGTGGTCAGGTGTACGTAATTATTTGAAATGTCCCTTTTAAAACTCAGAGTTTTCTTTGAAAGCGCCGCGTAGATACAGTCACCTTGACATTAAGAAAATCCTAAGCCTTCAGATTGAATAAAGCAACGGTGCACAGAGAATTCTAACCGCGAAGGGTTTAAACACTTATTTGCCCCAGATAAGGATCTAATAATATATCGTGACACGCTAGTCACTGAGGATGCGCCTTCTGCTTTAGCCCTTTAGGCTAAAAGTGGGCTCGCCCTTTGATGATGATACAGCCCCCCCACCCCACCCCCGCGGTAAACTAGTAATGGAATTTCCCGGATCGAACCATTCCCTTGGCCCACGCTGATTAAAACGCGGCCCGGCGTGTTTCTCATCAAGATTGTGGCCGATTAATCCACGGATACCATTGGAGTAGACTGTAGAGGCTTCCACAGACCTGTGTTCCAGACGGCCGTTACCCTGGCACCTCGAACAATGGGCTAAAAATACACACTATTGTTTGTCAAGCAGAGACGAGCGCGGCATTCCGACACAGAGATTCCGCTATACTCACAGGTTTTAAAAACTGTTTTCTTTCTCTAACATTTCATGCATACGAAACTCAACTCAACACAGAGTTGCTACTTTTTAGATGCATTTCAAGAAGAAAAACTTCTTCTTTGAAGATGGGGAATTGGAAAAGCACAACGTTTTTAACAGCGCGAAGATACGGTGACGTATAATGTCTGGAAACAAAAACCTTGTACTCAAACCGAATGATACACCAGCCGCTTCCGTACGTATTTCCATCTCAGTGGAGCGTAGTGCGACATAACGGTATCTTTAACCAACAGGATATGACGTGGGGAGATGTCTGCTTGTTCAAATCCGTCTGCCTCTAGTGAGATATCCACCGGCTACACAGCCCAATCCTACCCGAGCCCCCTTCTATCAGGCTAACATATTCTCCAGCCAACCGCTAAGCGCGTCCCAGTATGATTAATAACTGCTACCTACAGACTCCCACGTCGGAATGACTGATTAGCATTTATTTGTGGCATCCCTTGCCATTTTCTCGGGATCTCTGCTTACAGTTTGTAGGGATGGACCCTGTCGAAAAACATCTGCATCTGCCGATATTGGGTTTTACTTGGAAGGTAACCCGTTAAGGTCGACGTGATTTAAGCCAAGTGCTGGATATAAGCCATGCAATTATGAAGCGTGGCTGTTAAATCAGAGACTGGGGTCTCGGTTTTAACGCACAAGACAGTATGTCTGGTAGGTAAGATATGGACGGGCGTTAAAGGGACGGTGTTCTGTGTGCACAGTGTATGGGCACAATGTCCACCAAAATTAAAGCTACATTGTGAAACATCAGGACAAAAAGCTATATATAGAATATACAAAAAGTAAATATTCTTTTCATTTCTTTAAATCGTAAGATGAATCAACCCTAATACATTGAAAGTAAGTAGCAGGAAGTGAAGGTGCCAAAATATGACACAGTATGAGTATGTCTAAAAGCTATTATAAGTATTATAATATATTGGTGCAAAAATTTTACATAATGTTACTTAAAGGAACAAGGAAGGGCAATGCCAATTTAATCACACAAGTTAACTATCACAATAGCTTGCGGATAAAATGTCATATGTTTTTATACGACGCCAAGTATTAAAAGTCTACAATAGCTTTATGAGCGAGCCAGACTGAAATTTAGGATGTAGGACGTCCGCAATTAAAAAGCTTCCCAAGATACGGAATTACGAGAACTGCAGAAGATATTGACCGATTTTGTAAGTTCCTCCCTCAAGCGAAGGAAGAGAATCATCAATCAGGATTGTGAAAATAAAAGTTAATATGTTTCAAGTGTGTGTGTGTTCATTTCTTCACACAGTTTAAGGTTTGTATTGTTTAAACACACATACTCATTCACTAACCGATCTCTTTGTTGCCCGGAATGCTTAAATATGGAGAAGCGATTTCACTATGATAGATCTACTTAGATTGTTATCACAAAGCTTTAGGGTGGTCATATTCATCTAGTATTAATGACTTAAAATGATATCACTGGTGTTTGCCGCTATTTCACAGATTTGAAAACGCACAGCTTGTGGAGCTGCCTGATTCCCTCACGGGTTGAAAGTACATTACGGTTATTAACTGTGTCTGTAAACTTGTACTTTAATTGGTATCTAGTTAGGTCCTTAATTGTCAACAGACTTGTGCAAAAATGAAGCCGTCGGTGTCGTCGTTGTAGCCGACGTAAGTCAGAATATTTTTCCCGTAATAGCTGGCTAAAAAACTTTAAGGTTGTATTCTTTCTTACAGAATAGCATAATATTTTCTTTTAGCTCTCCATTTCTTTGAAATTTAACTATATTTTTTCATTTTCCAAAATTAATACAGGTATATATGTATCACTATATATACCAAAGACTTGTTGTTTTAGTAATTAGAATGTAAAGTTTTTGTACCACATTCAATAGTTGCACCATTCACAGTGTCGTGCAATTAAGTCCTGTATGTATCGTATATATACTAAATATTATCTATTTTATCAAGATTCAATTTTTATATGAATCATATTCCTGTGTACCTAGAGACCCACCCATGCCGATACCGTGTATAGAAATGACCCAGAAGACGGTCCCACCAATCATAGTAATGGAACAAATGAAATACTCCATCGATACCCATGACTCATCCAATCATGTAGAGTTCTAAAAAGCCCCACGCCCCTCATCACACAAATTCATCCAGCACGTATTGGGGCGTGGACACAGCTGCACAACAACCAATCAAATTACCAACGTTCTTCCAGTTTATAATTGACTGATGTATTAGTATACTCTGTGCACAGTTCTGTGATGTATTGATAGAGGGCAAAATGGGGTTAAAACCCCGACCTACACCCGCCATGTTTCACTTTAATGTATTACACACACATAGAGTCTTCCAGGTTTGTATGGATGGCAGCAGGCAGACTGTGGTTTAATATGGAAGAGTAACATGCCAGTGAGGACGCGTGGAGGCATAACTAACCCCCGTGAGAAATGTGCTCAGTACAACTTTCATAGCGAGCGCAGCAGACCGTTGATATATGAGTTATTAAACGATGAGAAAGCGTTGGTCTAGGATGATGAAGCACCTCTCTCTCACACACATTTTGAGTAGCCGGTGTGCTTATCTATGGCCCAGTGCTCTAGGTACTTATTCTCGTTGCCTATCTATCAGAAGTATTGGAAATATCCCATATATGCAAATTAGTTAAGGAAAACAGTAATGAAATGTTGCAAATATGCAAATTAGCCCTGTGAACTTTTTACCATGTTAATTAAAGCAAGCACTTCTGCAGCAGAATTAGACTTTTAATGTGTTGGACACGGTTTAAAATATTTTGTATTGTGAACTGCTATAACATTTACATGATGGATTGTGTTGAATTATGCCATTCATACATATTCGGGATATCATATCTTCTTCATCAGTATGCCTTATAGTATTTACATCACGCATACGGGCTTTGTCATACATGTACATGAAAAAGAGAGTTCTTTCCCACAGATGTCAAAAGTGTGCTTCAGTGATAAAGTCTGGTGATTTACAGGTTGATTACGCTGCCGATTGGATTGAATCGTGCATCAAAGTTGGCCAGACCGGCCTATCTCCGCGATTAACGGCATTCCGCCGGTCCACAGAATTGCCGAATCGTCGCGTAGATTGCGACTGAGTGCTTTCACGACATTCATCATCTTGCGGCAGTCGCTATAAAATGCCATTTGCGTCGTGTGATGCCGTGGAGAGCCTGGAGGTCCATCTCTAGCTTTGTACCGGCAAATAGAGCTGTAAATACGGCACACGCTTCTACCCCACCAACTCATACTCTAGATGTGACATTTCACGATAATCCTTGTTAACGGAAAGCTGACAAAGCGCTTGACATGGTCTCAGTCAGTCTGAGTCCATTAAACGCCGGCGATGACAGATGAATCTATCCTCAAGGCCATCGCTGTAAACAAGTAAGCCATCGGCAAACGGCTTCCATACGTCTGCCGTATCTGTTCCCCTTTGCTTTCCCGTCAATGCAGTACATTGTGCAAACATTACAATGCAGCAGACATTTAGGAAACAGCTTATAAAGGCCCTGAGGCGATGGATGCATTCATTGCGCCATGGAAAAGTTTCAAGTGCTCTAAAGTTTGCTTTCACATTCGTTTTCCACATGCAATGGTGTCCTTGGTTACTATGAAAGAATAGTCAGCAGCATTTGTACGTCTCCGAAGGGCATTCATGTACAGAGAGAGAGAGTTTTAGAAACCTCGTGAGCCGGCCATTACTCTAAATGTCTTGCTGGCTGGGTGGACTGGTAAGCGCATGTTGCAGGCGAGATAGGCATCTTTGGGAGCAGCATTCATCTGGCTTCATACATCTCGGATGTCGTTAAGTACAGAGGAAGTCTATTTCAGGGCCCATCTGTAGGGAACTGGCGATCACGAACACTCCTATAGCCTGGTACAGGCC